GAGGACTCTTTTCTCTTTTTGCGTTAGGTATGCTGCTTATTCGTCCAAGGCAGAGGATGGAAGCTGACTGCTCGAAGCCGCGCAGGGCACATTTGATATCCTCGGAGGAGTCATGTACATCATAGTGTAAGTTTACACCCGTTTAGATGCATTGCTGTTATGAATCGGTAGTGACCGTGATGCGATAGTGTCGTCCTGGAAGCCGGCATCTACGTGAGCCATATCATTTGGCGCATTCGATACCGGAAATTGCGAAAAGAAGCCAAAGCTGCGGGTGTGAGCATTGATGACATGTTGAGCATGCACAGGAATGAGTCTGAGCAGGTGAATGATACTGAGAAGAGGCCTGGCGATATTGAGAGCCAGATTGCTGTGGACCAACGGCAAGCTTCAGTCGAAGTTGTAGAGCAGCCTGAATTGAATGAAAAGCATAACTGAGTGGAAGTGGGTTCAGGAGCGTCATCTAGCCAGCTATAGAAATAGAGAGAATAAGAGAACATTGGAATTGCCCAAATACATACCATCTAGAACTTCAATGTGCATCAAGAAACAAAATTATATAGACCGAGGTTCGAGTCGAAGTCACCTAGTAGGTAAGTCGAGCTACCTAGTAGCTACCCTAGGTATTCAGGTAAGATCGGGGATGGTTAAAGAGCAAGCAATTCAAGTGTTATATAGAGCTCATCAAATCAACTAGTGCCGTCACTTGGTAGCTGTGAACCGTTGGATAATGATAGAAGATGGTCAAAGCGCAACCTCTCCTGTCCGTGATTCTGTTTTTCAGCTGTCATATCAGGTAAATTAGAGTCATACAAGGTAGATAACTAGATCATATCTACCTGTTTCTGTCTTTTTAATTCTCCAACTTTCCCGTTTCTTCCGGAAGATCATCCTCCGCAAGGATTGAGTCGCTTGCTTCTGCTTGCATCTGTATGTTCTAGTCTAGTAGTACTCTATACACAAGCTTCAGTCCCCAAGCTCCCTTTTTATTTACTTCTTCTGCCTCTCCAACCATCTCCTTTCCCCTCATCCCGACCACAATTCTCCAAGCCTCTCAGCTCCTGAGATGGTTGGTTCCACTGATCGAATATGAAGAGCTGAAAAAAAGAAAGAAAAGAAGTAAAAAAAGATTCCACCAACTGCCTTGCAGACCGCTGAGCTGCTGCTACTGCTCCTGCTTCGATAGAAGGCAATATTATTGTACGACTGCAGAGAATGAGGTGACAACGCAGTGCTCTTTTCATTTTTCTCTTTTGTTGTTTTTCCTTTTCCTTGTTGTCATCTGTGTTCTAGACTTTCTCTCTCGGTTGTCTCCCCATTTGTTTTTCTTCCTACCTGTCTGTCATTATTATTTCATCTCTTTCAGTGCAATAATATTTGATAGCTGAGCTATCAGACAATACTGTGGTGGATCGTCATCATGCCTGACCGCCGCCTGTCGCAGCTGCTGAAGTCGAAGCTTCTGCGGCGATCATCGACCACGGCTACGACTTATCCAAAACAGAACCAGAAACCCGTTAACGTTCAGAAAAAGGCGGCCGCCGGAGCGGATCCGCCTGTCGACCCCAACTCAACCTCCGACCTTTCCTGTTCCCTACCTCCTCATCTCTTGACCCCTAACGAAGGAGAAGCGGATGCCAAATCCCGCGCCTACAGCATAGTTTCCTCCATACCCCTCGATCATCCCAGTACCCCCTGCGAGATTCCTGGTCCTGCCACTGGTTCCTCAGCGGGCTGCGATCAGTACTTCACCCACGTCGACCGATTGGGCGTAAACTCACATCAAGAAGGATCACAGAACAGTTCGATTCAGCAGTCTCCGACACTCGTGAGGAGCCTTCGGCACAAGCAGCCGACCGAGGGAAAAGACAAACGGGATTCACAATCGCCGGAGGGAGATCAAGAAGGCGAGTACGGCTACGAACGTATCCGGAACGACTCCGATCCTCAGTGCAGCTTGACCGCAGAGCTTGCCAATAAGCCCTCTCCACCACATACTCCCGTCGGCGACGACTCGCTACATTCAGCGTCGGCGACCCCTCCTCCACTTTCGGCCTCGCTGCCAGGGCCCGCTGGCGCAAGCTCGCTTCAAGCAGCATACCGACCAGTCCGAGAAAGTCCCAGCGTGCCACCACTCGAATCTCAATTGACTCCGTCCTTGGGCGCTGTCGCCGAGGACTCTTCTGAAGAATCTGCCTCCCATTTCGTCGGTCCTCCGTCGTCATCCCCGTTTCCGAAGCGCCCCACCATTGGGGTCCGTCGTCAGTCGCTTCTTCCAGCCTCACATCAACACTTGATCAGTGGTCTTTTGGGTTTTGGGCCTTCTCAGAACCTCGGCCAGAGCAGCGGTCACCCTGCCACAGTCAACGCTGAGATGATTCCTCGAAAAATCTGGGTCAAACGGCCAGGGGGCTCGGCCACCCTGGTGCCGACCATGGAAGATTCGCTTGTCGACGAGCTGCGCGATCAAGTTATCATGAAGTACGCCAACTCTTTGGGGAAATCATTTGATTCGCCTGATATCATGATCCGCATTTCTCCTCGAGAAGGTTCCAACCGACAGTCTACGCCCGAGCGGATACTGAGTCCTGAGGAACCGTTAGGTGTGGTCATTGACTCTTACTTTCCTGGGGGCCAGACGGTGGACGAAGCGTTGGTCATAGATATCCCTCAACGGCGAACGCCGAAGCCGTCCCCCCGCCACCCTGTATATTATCACCATTCGGAACCGGGCGAGCATGGCGAGTACTTTCCGCTCATGCCTGCGAACCCAAATGTCCCGACGCCCCCCACTCATCCGTCGGTCTCATCTACGAGCGTGAACGCCCATACGGCACCCTCAATCTCTATTCTCACCACTGGTATGGCGCCTCCGCTACCCTCACCAGGCAATAGAGCAAACCGACATTCCCGCCGGCCACCACTCACTCGACATACTACCAACTCACCCACAATGCTTGGTACAGCGCCAAATGCAAAAGGTACGCGTGGACCCTTACTGTTCTTCTTTGGACCGTTAAGATATCGTTTCTTACTGACTAGATGTAGACTCGAGTATGGCCCCGTGTCCTCAACCTCCCGCAGCAGCGCCCCAGGTCCCTACGCCGCCTGGTCCTCCTCCCGAATCGCCTCAGACCAAAACGCACACACCGCCAGCGCGTGTTTCCTCGCCGCGCCCGCGTCCCACAAAACCGAAGAAGGCCGGCAACGGCCAATCGCCAAACGCTGCCTTTGGCGGCCTTATTGAAGGCACGGTTCCTCCCATCAACGTCCTCATTGTCGAAGACAATATCATCAACCAGAAGCTCCTGGAAGCTTTCATGAAGCGACTCAGCGTCCGTTGGAAGTGCGCTGCAAACGGTGAGGAGGCGGTGAGGAAATGGCGCCAGGGTGGGTTTCACTTGGTCCTGATGGATATCCAACTCCCCGTCATGAACGGGTTAGATGCGACCAAGGAGATTCGGAGACTCGAGCGCCTGAACGGGATCGGTGTCTTCACCAAGACTGCCTCGGGACGATCGAGTGCCAGCTCTCTGTCGGCGGAATTGAACCAAGCATCATCTGAGGGTTCGCTGTCCGAGGAGGATACTCTTCATGACTTGTCTCTGTTCAAGAGTCCCGTTATCATTGTCGCTCTGACCGCCAGTAGTTTGCAGAGCGATCGGCATGAGGCTCTGGCTGCCGGCTGCAATGACTTTTTGACCAAGGTATGTCATTTTGGACGCTTCGCGCATCCTGTTCCGGGGTAATGGCTGACTTTCTGCCCTTTTTTTTTAGCCCGTTGGATTTCCTTGGTTGGAGCAGAAGGTGACTGAATGGGGCTGCATGCAAGCTCTGATTGACTTTGAAGGCTGGCGGAAATGGCGAGGATTTGCCGACGAACCCCAGTCATCTTCTCCCACCAATGGAGGTCTCACCAGCCCTCTGCAGACGGGCGCTGATGGTGTGTCCAGCAGAACCTCGACCTCCTCGTCATCTGGAGCAGTCAACGTGACGGCCCGGGAGCTTGACGCGGGTCCTGGTGCGGGCAAACGCAAGTCCACCGTTCCCGAATTGACCAAGCCCGTGGATATCCTTCCTGAGGAACCTCCCGGAAGTGATAGTGGCGAGGGCAATGAGACTCTGGATTCACCGGCCCAGTCCCTTACCTCCGTGCACGTCGGTGACCCAACTGAACCTTCTAACGATGAGGAGCACCAAGCTCTGGATGCTACGTAGTCTGTTGCCCCCTCTGCAACTCAGGCCTCAATATCTCCCTTTGATACCATTATACTCACACGATTTGTACGAGGAGAGTTCCTCTGTTTGATATTACACATTGTTTCCTCCAGTCTCTTACACGTCCCGCTTTTCTGTATCTTCCATTGGATACCCAGCATAGCCATTACTCCTTTTATCATATGCGATGTCCGTACCTTATTGGTCCGTCCATTTCCAGTGTTTACCACAAACATCTCCTTTGTTGAGCGGCATGAATCCTCGATTGTATATACTATCACTGCTTTAGCGACATGCTCTCGCATACGAAAGGAGATGTCCTGTTCTGTTTTTGTTGTTTTGTGAATCCATGCATCGCCCCATTGTTTTTCGCATACTCTGTTGTTATTAGTTAGCCTAGGGCCCCTACCGCCATTGACATGCTGATACCGGCAATTGGTCTAATGTCATCGTCTAATGAGACTAGCTGCATACGTTTGTACCTAGTATACTACACTTGATCATTTCAGCTGTAACCAAAGTAGTTGTGGTTGACGTTTGCAATGCCGATTGACTCGAAAGAACGCGTATGTACCCTTGAGAGTTGAACTCGGAGTTCATGGTTGGTATTGATATTGTTAAAACATGACAGAATATAAGTACAATGCCAATGCTCGACAAAACCGTTCACGAGATATTTGTACAATACATCACTTCCCTGACCGAGAGTAGCTCATGAATGCAGAAGCAGAACGAGACCTTTCCTCATCAAATATGGATCAACAGTGTCAGAAAGAGTTGGCTTAGACCTCCACGCGAGTAGGGATCTTGATCTGTCCCTTCTTGCGATCGTATGTAGGCACACCGTATCTCCGGCCGGGCGCCAGGGCACCACGACCATCCGTGCCCGTCGTCTCGCGACTGACAACGACATCCTTGATGCGGAACTCGAACCGCGAGGACTCAGGCTGCACGCGGACGAGCCGCTGCTCGGCGCGCTCCTTGGCGAGTCTCTTGCGTTCCTGCTCGGTCTCCGCCTCCTGCTGGAGCCGCTCGCGGTAAAGCTTCATGTTCTCGCGGAACTCGTTGGGTTTCGACCGCATCTGGCGCTCGTGGGCAACCAGGTGCGGGTGCGGGATGCGCACATCCGCAGGCTGGAGGACCTGCTGCTCGTCGTCGCCCTTGCCGACGCGCTCGATGTGGGATGGGTCCTTCGTGATCTTGCTGATGGCCTCGTCCGGGGAGGCCGCGTCGCGCTCGACTTCCCTGTGTGGCAGGGCGGGTGCGGCGGAGAACACGCGACCGGCGTCAACACGGGTGAATTGCCGGGACTCGGAGACGGGGTAGAAGATCTGGGGATCGGTGAGGCGGTGGACGGGGAGATCGTTGATTGACTCGTGGGGTCGAGCGTCCAGGTCATTGCGGATGTTTGTGACTGGGACCATCTCGTGGACTGCACGAGCGTATGGCAATGCTAGCGACTTCCCCTGAATTTCAAGCATCGTGTTAGAGCAATCCAAGGCTGCCGAGACGCGAAATTTTCAACCGAAGACGAGACATGGGCACAAATCAGATATGGGAGTTGTAAGCATTCCCAAGCAGGTTATGCTTGGGGTCTTAAAGACTAATCGATTTTTTCGTTGTTCTCATCACTGTACCATGCCATCGCAAAAGGGAAGTAGCCAATAGAGCCGGAAAGGCGAAAATGAAAGCATGCATACCTGTTGTGTCCATCGCCTTTCTAATTCTACTAACCGAACAACGGCTGCTACTCGCCGCATATCCACCCCAAGGTCAACACTGACGGCACGCACACTCTGCTTTCTGTCCACAACCCGCCGGTGGATCTCATTGCGCAGCTCCTCGCCGAGTATGGGCTCACTGACGAAATTAGGGTTCAGAGGAAAGGGCCGATTGCCGGCGTTGCTCTTGAGGCGGGTAATGTAATTCGTCCGCCCTGGCGTGTGTTGTTTCAGTGCAGCACCTTCGCCATTGATCCACGCGAACATCTCATTCCGCAGTCTGGTCTGAGCGGCGGGCGAGGAGGAAAAGGGACGAGAGGAGCATGATTGTGAGAGCTTGGAGATACATGTGGAAGAGGTTGAAGAGGACGAGGAAGTAGAGGAGGAGAGGTAAGGGAGGAGAGAGCCCGAGACCAGCTGGTTTTGTATTCGGGGAGGCATTTTCAATGAGGTCTCAGGTGGAGGGGAGTATTGTTGCTCTGGGACAAAGCCAGGGATCACGCAGTCATGGGCTTATACAGCTTGCACACGAGCAATTGAGCGTCTCTCGAATTAAAAATGTCAGCGAGAAGCAGTGGTGAAGTACAGCACTGGTGTTTGTGATAGTGGAAGGAGGACAGCCGGGCGTTCGGAAAGAAACTTTTCGGCTCTCACGATGTGGTCCGTGCCCAGTCACGTGATATAACCAACATTGTCGTGCACTCTTGAGACTTACATGGAGTGATATACTACTTCTGTATCTTCGGTCAGAAGAAAGATGGCACAGGACACAGTATAAAAGTTCTCGTCTACAATTTTCCATTTAGCATAGCAAGCAAGTAAGAAAGCAATCCGCCAGAAAGCAAGACCGAACATCGCCAGTGCATGTTAGCAGTCACAGCACACTGTCCCTCGGCATGCCTCAGTGTAGCCAACAGAGCTTGAGAAGCAAAGAAAATTAAAGGTGACACCATGGGGAATAAAGTAACATGCAATTGATCATAGCCACGATAGAGCAATCCGCTACAAACCAGGGACCAACGACAATAAAAAGTACCGATCACGCCTCCCCAAAGAGCTTGAGGAACAAATAAAAGAACCCAGAAGTGTATCTTGATGGATGTATAACCGTGTAAAGCCAACGCCTCACGAATGGTTCATCTTTTGGCCATATATCCTTGCGGGAGCCAGCCATAATGATCTTGCAAATCATACGACGCTTTTGTCGCAGACTGGCGAGCAACGCAGTCGGAAATTCCTCGCTCGAACCCCACCTTTCTGTTTTGATTCTTTCTCTCTTTTCTTTGTTTCTCAATTTCCCAAGCTTTCCTTCATCCGTTTTTAAATCGAGGCGAGTTGCAAGTTAACTGTATATCCGAGCAAAGAGGGGTGGTATGACCTCCAGGGCAAGAAGAAAAGAGTCAAACACAAGAGGCTCCACCCGCGTTAGACGAGGCAGTGGCAGTCCTCACGAAGGTAAAAGAATGGCCGTAAGAAGAACCGATGCAAGAGGGAATCATGAACGCAGGACAAGACCACTAGAATCAGGCCACTCGAGTTGGACACTATTTGTCTCCCATGGTGAGGCTGAGAAATGAGGTATCGCGAAAACAGGAGCACAATTACAAGTAAGGGGTAGAAAAGAAAGTCCCAGGAGAAGAGAGTGCGATAAAGACCAGAAAGCAAAAGAGGCTGGGTATGTGAAGTAACTCGAGTAACAAAAACAGGTGAACCTGAGCAATGCGAATCCCCGAAAGCTTTGCTGGGATCTGAATACACAAACAGCATAGAGCCGAAGAGGAGTGCAGCCTCACCAAGGGAAAGACATCAGAAAAGCGCCCACAATACCATGCTATGAAAAAACAAAGAACAAAAAACCGGACGGGAGATTTAAAAAGCAAGCAGTCAAGGCCAGAATACCCGTAGTCCTTACTCCCAGGAGGTAAAGGGGAGCCCTCCGAATGCTGATCTAGCTCATGAAAATCCACGACTCCCAATGCGCCAGACTTGAAAACCCTCAACTGTCATCAAACATGTCGGACATTAATTCCAGATAAGAAAATGGGGCCCCTCTACCGACCCATCATGTAGTCAGGGTAGAAAGAATTGAAGCCTCCCACGTTTGATCCGGTAGAAGTGCCGCCAACACCTCCCGTGAGGGGCGGAGTCGGGGACATCAACGAATTCATGTTGTTTCCTCTAATCCCCAAACCAGAGTTTGAGTTGAACGACCCGTTGGTGGGCATAGGTGCGTGGGGATTTCCTGGTGGGTGCATGGACCCATTGTTTCTCAAAGCCATTGGCATCGCCAGTCCCGGCGGCGCAGCAAGCCCAGGTGGAGGACCGCTTACCGTCGAGAACATATTACTGTGGATGCCTCCGAGACTGCTACCACCAGGGATCGAGCCTTGGGCAGAAAGATGGTTGGATGCGTTCATGCTGCCCGGCTGACCGGAGCGGACACCCAGTGGGTTCTTGGAGAAACTCAAGCGAATCCCTGTCTTGTTACTGTTGGAGAGCTTGTATCCATAAAGCTCATTGAGCGCTTTACTAGCCATGGCCACTTCGTCGAATTCGACGAAACACATGGGACCGTTTTGCTTGTTCCGGAAGCACAGGCGCTTGTATCCGCGTTGTTTGGAGAAGAGAGCCTTCAGCTCCTCTTCGGAGGTGTCCGGAGGAAGGTTACCCACATAGAGGGTATTGCAGGGAGGATTCAAGTCGTTCGGATTCGCCGCGGGAAGACTATGACGAGGAGTATGTTGATTACCATAAGGGTATCCATGACCTCCCATCATAGTGTTACCATTAATTGTCTGAGGGAAGGCGGAGGAAGGCGTCGGGACCCCCATGCGTCCTGAGCCGCCAGGAGCATAATTGTGCAGAGGCGGCGAAGTCATGTTGGTGGATAGAGAGAGGCTGCCGAATCGGTTGGTGGGATACTGAGGATTCGTCGAACGTCGAGGCAGGGCGACCGAAGAAGAATGACCGTTCTCGGCGTAGCCAACGGGATCCTTGAGTAGCTCACCCGTATCTTCGTCCGGATCCTGGTCGATCATTGACTTTCCACTAACGCGCGGAAGGTCATGAACACCATTGCCGATCGGAGACTGGGGAGAGAATATGCTTTGAAGACGAGACCCTGACTCTGAGTTCGAGGTCAGGGTGTCGCCATTCGACTGCAGGGACGAATTTGGCGCTGCCAGCTTCTCAAGACTTTGGAATGTGCCGTTGAACCGGGAAGACCGCGACAGGTGGCCATTACCCAACGTATTTCGAGCCGCGGAGTGATCAATCGTATTGCGCCTTGGTGGGTTCAACGCCGACGGGACCGGTCCATGGTAGAGCTCAACGATCATATTGGCATCATTCTGCGAATTTGGCTTGCCATCAAGTAGAGCACAGGCTTCTTCAGCCGCAGCCATAGTATTGAAGCGCGCGATGGCGGTCAGGTACCCGTGATCATCCGGGAGTTCAACAGGAAAGAAATCCGCATCCACGAAATCTTTTGCAAAAAGCAACATACTGCGCAGCGCTTCGCGACTAGTGTTTCGCGGCAACTTTCGCATCACAATTGCGCCGCCAGTATTACCACTTGTGGGTCGAGCGAAGCCGTTCAGGGTCTGGCCCGACCGATCGGAATCAGTTAAACGCATGTTGCCCGGCGCGACACTGTCGAAAGGCAAGGAGGGACCGAGCGGAGAGAAAGGATAAGAAAACGAGCCGCCTAGAGGGTTCGATGTTTGCGAGGCAGTGGGAGAATACACGTCGGTCGACATCGCATTCTGGGCCGTCGAGGGCGGCTGGGAGGAAGATAGCGACTGCTGAGGAGGCGACGCGCCCGACGAGACGGAAGGCGTGCGCTGAGTGGTACTGTAAGAACCTGGACTCGTACGAGTAGACTGACTCGAACCGGCACTCATGCCTCGAGGACCAGTAATGTCACAATACAGGTGTGCGATGATAACAATGTATTCGCAGGGTTGATGATGAAAAACAGTCGCGGGGTGTCTAGAAAAGGAGGGAAGGTATGTCTGCCGGAGCGAGCAAGAATATTGCGATACGATGCAAGAGCGTCAAAATAGTTCAGGTCGACGAAGATGACGCGCCAAAATATGAAGAATAAATGGATGCACGACGATGTGATTTCTTTATGCCCTCATCAAGAACGCGACCGAGTCTTCGAAAGGAGCGCGATTAGGTCTGTGGCAGCTTGGCGGCGAAGGAGGCAATATGAAGACGGGGGACCGAGGGAAGTTGTATGGGAATGAGTCGCACAAGAGATCGATACGTGATAAAATTGACAAGGATCGATTAACTAAGGGAGGAATGAGTAATCGACAAAAGTAACAAGAAGAATGAGGTGTTTGGTGGCGATGAGGCGAAGGAAGAGTGAAAGGAGGAAGATGGATGGGCGAGGTAGATCGGACGAGAAGACGAGAACGGAAGAGTAAAGGTGGAATAGTACGGAGTAGTGAGTGCAGTACGGAGAGTAGATAGATGAGAGAGGTTTTGGGGGGGGGGTGCGTCGAGGGGGAAGGCGGTGGTTCGATACAGTAATTGTACGGGCAGTACCAAGTACAGAGAGTGGAACTGGTCAGGTAGCCTGCCTGGTAAGGTACTACGGTAGGTGTGGAAGCGAAAGTTTGGAACTTTTGGGGGGGGGATGGTGTAAAAGGAGGAGGGAGGCGGAGGAGGATTATTACCTACGGTATAGTCTAGTCTAGCCGGCTGGTAGTGACCCAGATAAGTTGAATGGCGACCGAAGAATGATCCAAGGGACACGCGAATGACAGCAGAAGAAGACGATGATGATGGTTGTGGTGATAATAATTAATCTAAAATGTGTGAAAGCAGAGAAAGGGAAAAAGAAAAAGAAAAAGAGCGCATTGAAGGATGAATAACAATGTGGAATTATCGCATTAATTGGGATGATCGATTACGAGTACCTAGAGTATCTAGTTGAAGTCCGGAACTGGTGCTGAGAGACAACTACTGCTACCAATAGTACTTAGCACCACGCATGAATCCCTCTAGGATTCTGGTACCTACAGTAGCTCCGGTACTTTTAGGCGGATTCACCTTTCCTCCTGTATAAACTTCGCTGAGATTCGTAGAAAAGATACCTACCTAAGATACTAGGTAGACTGCCGCTCAGTCTCAGTAGGCGGTGCATCGTGTGGCCCACGGATCGAGTCTGGTTCCGTCCCAGGAGTCGAAGAGACTAAGAGAGTCGAAGGTCGAAAACTACCCTACCTTACCTTACACTCTGAGTCAGTCGTCCGTATCGACTCTGCTCCGTACCTAGGATGAGATGGATCGGGTCTGATGATGAAAGGAACGAATGACATCGAGGGGTTCTCTGATTGCATCCATAATTCATCCAGGGTGCGTTAGCCAATCAGGAACTGCGGATGGCGTAAGACTCGACTAGACCCAACTCAGCTGAAGCGCGATCCAGCAAGTTAAATTGACACGACGCGCTTTCAAGGGCCCATGAGCGTCGGTCGTCAGTTTGGGCCCGAGAGTCTTAGGCCGTCTGACGAGTACAGAGTACGAAAAGCAGGGAATTGACCGAGAGAATATTCATACTACAAATCTTTCATGAAATTCGTGGAATACGGAGCGTCATGAAGGACATACCGAGAACAGCAAGAATGGGTTGGGTGTCTTAGATAATCCACAGCGAACGGTCCGGATGCGAACATTAGGTACTAGTAGTACCTACCCCGTAAGATAGGCTTACTTAGGGTCCGTCCTAGTCCAGGGCAGGCCGCAGGGGAAGTGCGTGTCCCGTTGCAGAGGTCGTGCATAAAGGTGGAGCCCTTTGAATTATCAGTTATCATCTCTGCCTGTTGCTTCATCTTGTTGACATGAGGTAACTACTCCGTACTGTCCCTCTCGCTCCTTGTCTAAAATCAATGACGAAGCACCTGATATGTCTCACTTGAAGGACACGGACACTCGACTCTGGTTGTAGCCAAGCCATCTGTATAGGAACACTCACAGTTTGTTATTACTCGCATGAACTATGACGGACAATGATGGAATGGTTTCATAAACAGATCGCTCTACAAGGTAGGAAAGTCGTTGTCGTCTGTTGATGACTCTGGATATCCTCAGTCAGACATCCATGGAATGGTCTCATATCTATCGTCTCCCGTCTCCCAAATAGGGTCGGAGCTCGGAAATTTCATATCATGTGGATGATAATGAACCAGCAGACATGGAACGACTGACAACATAGACACATCATGAACTCTTATCAACTATGACCCGAAGATTATCTAGATGTCTACTTCGAGCATTACCCCTGGACCCTACTGGGCTCTTCATGGTTATGTCCACAAAGGAATTCATGGCGATGTGGCTTGTCCTGGACTCATGGAAAGCCCAAACTCTGATGTTGATCATCCAGTCTAGTCCTTCGCAACCACCAATCATCATATTGGCCCTACGCCTATGTCGCTACTTAGACGGCGTGTCCTCATCTCTCTAGGAGGGTGGCTATCAATCACACAGGGATTGACTGTAAAGAGATGGGGAATTCCTGGGGAATTTGACAGAGTGGCCCCTGGCTCGCGTGCAATCTGGACTCTGGAACCCATTAGCTCAAGACTTTCGATTATTTGACTACCTTATACTTTGATGTTCCATCAAAAGGTTCATCGATAGGGATATACCTGTCGTCAATGACAAAAACAACAACCGGCTCCGGCCTGCGGACAGATCGTCCCTTCAAACCAAAGCGTAACACATTCCTGTCAGCCTCTTGAATGGTCAGGACACCACTCGGTTGACGTACGGCTTACGAGTCTGGCGTCCGGCGAGAAAGCGACATCACAGTGCTTGGCTTTTCTTAGTCGCGTCGAGGAATGAAGGTAAGGTTGACCTCTCATTCTCAACTGCCTTCTAGGCTTATACGGACCATTCAGCAGCGTCAACAAAGAATGAGGCATGAAAAGGTAAAAGCCCTTTGAGGAAGAGGGTTGTCTTTGGGAGGGGCAGCCCTAGGAGCGGAAGCGCAATAGGCTTGGAAAGGACGATTTTGACATTCTGACACTGACAGCAAGATCGCTCACAGACTACCCTAGTCCTCGTGGCTGAGATCGCAGTCTGGTGTATCAGTCGATTCAGCGGGAGAAATTCAAACCTCAGGCACAAATTGAAGGTACCCCTGACCCCAAACATTGCATCAACCGATCGTTTTATTCGTCGTAAATTAACCGAAACCACGATCATATCCACATAATGTACAAAGAATGGTTTCAACCCAAGTATATTCCAGAAAATGACAATTCTCGTAAACGCCGTTTTGAATGCCAGAAAGAGAGTAAGTCGCTACCCCAACCAGACGAATCGAAGTATTCTCGATCTAAACAGAGCTGCCTCAACCGATCGAGCTCTCAAGCCTAATATAAAAAAAAAAAAAAAAAAAAAAAAAGAAGAGTCTGCTCATTCTTTTTGAGCATTAGACTTGGGTTGAACAAGGCCGGCCTAACATCATCGTCCCAGTCAGCGAAGAGCTCCGATTTTCTTGAGCTTGCCAACAACGTACCAAGTTCAATAACCGCCATACACCCTCGCTAGGCTGTGCACCAACACCAAGCCAGTACTTTGCCCGTGAGCGATCAAGAGAGACCTCTTTGAATGGTTTTGCGCGCCGAGCTTCCTCTTCGGATAGATTCGTAGGGCGTTGTGGAATGGGATTATAGGTGCCAATAACTTCAAGGGGTTTCGAGTCTCGAGCGGATCTGCAGTTGGAACAATCGATTAGCAATTCCTTGACAGTCACTGGGTTGGCAATTGTCCATCAATCCAATCTAGATGTCGATGACAGGCAGCCGAACAGTTCAAAGGGGAAAAAAAAAAGAAGCACCAAAAGGAACGAGGCTTACCGAGCCTGTGCAACAACAATGTTGTAAAATGGCTGGTGCTTGTTGCCGAAGCGAGAGAGTCGGATTCTGACGACCATTTTGACTGTTTCTAATCGTTGAGCTTCGTAACCGACAAGCAAATAAAGCAACGCTGAGTTGAGCCCTGCACTTTACTTTGACTCCCGCGGATGTTCAGATTGAGCTACGGAGGATGTGTTATTCCGGACGTGCCAAAAAAAGGACTAGTGCTGGTGGTGGAGAACAAAACATCGCGATGATGCAATGTGACTGACAGGCATGTATCTAGTTCTAGTATATGAAAGTGTGCTTCCCTACCAGTGGTATGTCCGTCTTTACTATACCACACACCATAGACAGATATAAATATCCCTCTTGCACCTCCTCTACTCTATTCTGAGCTTCTAGCTATCATAGCTGATTTTAAATTGACTTAATATCTCGCATTGTATGTTCCGCTCCGTTCTCACAAAACGATATCTCCCCACAGCAGTTCGACAGTACAGTAGGACCGCCAGGATGTCGTTGAAGGTAGGTAGCATTTAACTCTAAACTATGCTATCTAGCTCATCGTGTATTCCAGGCTATCTCAGCCAAAGATGCTGCCTCCCTCGATAAGGACTTGATGGAGATGGGCGGATGGTCCTTGGACCAATTGATGGAACTCGCGGGGCTGTCCGTTTCGCAGGCAGGCATGTGTTCGCGCTCTGGGGCATTACAATCAAAATAAGAAGAAGCAGAGACTAACACACCTGCGATAGTCTATCGCCTTCATCCCCCCAGCGCAGGCAAGAATGTCCTCGTCGTTTGCGGCCCGGGGAACAACGGTACGCTTCATCCCAGCCGCAAACAAGAGCTCAACGGCAGACGCTGACGCGCTTCAAAAGGCGGCGATGGCCTAGTAGCCGCTCGCCATCTGGCACAGTACGGCTATACACCCTCAGTCTACTATCCCAAAGAAGGGAAGAATGAGCTGTACCAGGCAAGCCACTCCCGGGACCTCCCCATCGGAAAAAAGCTAATCATCTCGCCCCAACAGCGCCTCAAAACCCAGCTACAAAACCTATCCGTCCCTTTTGTGCCAGACTTCACCGAGGCCCTCAAGTCCGCTGACTTCCTCGTCGACGCCATCTTCGGGTTCTCCTTCGGGGGTCCCCTCCGCGACCCCTTCCCATCCATCATCTCCCAGATCGAGTCGTCGTCCGTCCCCGTGCTGAGTGTCGATGCGCCCAGCTCTTGGGACGTCCAGAGTGGTCCACCGAAGGAGGGTCCGGGATCCAAATTTATGCCCGAGGCGTTGATCAGTCTCACGGCCCCTAAGCCATGCGTGAAATATTACCGCGGCAGGCACTTTGTCGGTGGTCGTTTCCTGACCAAGAGTATCGTGGAGAAGTACGGATTAGATTGTCCTGATTATCCCGGCATCGACCAGATCGTGGAAGCTGGTGTTGATGCCGAAGGGCGGCTATAATGGCTGCGCTGCTCTGCCTATGAATTGAAACGAAGATACGGTTTCGGGTTTCGGAGGTCCTCTTTTTTCTGACCATGAATCCTACGCCGGTGTCTTCATCAAACACGACCTTATGTATAATGTGTATGGAAATTTGCATGAATAAATGCGCTCTTTATTGAATGCCATTCAAAAAGTCTATCAGTCGATACGAGCTGGTGTAGCATGTGCATAGCCTGATAAATAATCAGTCCACTGTCCTGAAGTCGCAAGACAAAATGCTTCCAATCGCGATGTCGTCCCGCAGAGCCTCCAAATCGTGCTGTGGTTTGTCATAATCTACAACATTGCCTCTCTGATCTCGCTAATGACACCCTTGACCCGAGGCTCTTTCCCACTGCCCGAGCTTGACACCTTTTCCAGCATGTCCTTCACATCATAAATCTCCCTCGCAGCACTCTTCACTTCCTCGCCTAGCGCCTTGATAAGAGTTCCTAGGGCCACAAGGGCACGATACACTGCTTCCGAATCCTTCTCGCTTGCGATTAGCTTGACCAGTTCCCCAACGAGCACCAGACCCCGCTCAGATGATTCTGGAGCCAATTCCCTCCCTCCAGAGGTAAAGTAAACCGAGAGGTTGATGTAAAGCGTGGCCACCGCGATGGTGAGATTGCGGTTCGGTGCTGCTCCGCTGTTGCTGAAAGCAGAATTGACGACCGCCACAATCTGGTCGAACCTGTTCACAGCCAATTGACGACCGGCGTCGGTCTCGAAAAGGTTCGCTAGCATTCGGATAGACAACATCGCATTGTTTACATTCAATGGTGGATCAAATATACCACTCGCCTGAACCCCCGAAACTAGATCTTTACCATCGTAGTCTGCGGTGGCAATCAGGGGTGTTGCAGCAGCGAGCAAGCGGAGCAGGTCCAAGCCAGGCAGTCTGCTGGTGGCAGGCCACGTGGTTGCAACTCTAAACAATGACCTCAGGCCAGCGTCCACTACGGGCGATGATTTGAGGGCAGCGGAAGACTCCAGCTGACTGCACAGCGAAACTACAGTCTCCAACTCAGGGGGACTGAGGGATAAGTCTTTTGACCCCGAGGATGCGAGCTGGTCATTCAATTCCCGTAGTTTCTTGGCAATGATTTTGAGATTCGCTGTCTTGATGGAGAGGTACGTCTTCTGAGGAAGGACCTTAGGGCGTGATTCAGGTAAAGAAGGCGTTGGGGGTGCCGCTGCCGCTGTGGCATCTCCAGGGCGATAACGCCTCTCCTGACCCCAGGGATCAGCGCCGGTGGGCGCAGGTTCTTGAATAGATTGCCCAAGGGTTGCGCCCTGCGTGTTCTGGACGATGAACTGCGCGACTTGGTCTAGGTAACTCATAGGCAGCTCGTTATCTTGGATAAATTTAGTGGCCGCTTCGTATGGGTTTTGCGAAATATTGTATGGAAGCTTGAGGGGAGGCTTCCCATCCTCGACATCAACGTCGAAGACATAGTCATAATCTTGTCCCATATATTCGATCTTTCTCCCACTGCTGGCAGCAGAATCAACCACCGTACCAACAGCAATCCATTCCTGCGAAGCAGCGGACCACGTGTGGGCTGTAACACTGCCATCTGCTTCGCGAATCATTTGCACCTGACCTTCCTTCGTACCGGACTTCTGTTTGAGAAATTCAGGGCCTGGAAGCTGCTCTTTGTTGATCTTGCCGACTTGCTGTTCAGGTATTGCGGATTCCTTGACGGCTTTGTCAAACTGTTGAACCACCTCCGGGCTTGCCACTCGCTCTTCATTTCGGCTGAAAATCCGCGTGACACGATCACTGGCACCTGTAACAATATCGCCATTCTCTTTACAAGCAGCAACGCCCCACACCGAGATTGCAGGATGCGTAATTGTCTGCACACATTGTGTGCCATTCCATACTCTTACGGTTCGATCTTCTCCGGAACTGACCAGCTCGCCAGTCGGCAAGACATCCAAAGAATATATGAAGCTCTCGTGACCAAGAAGCTCGGCAACCAGCTGCCCCTGTAAGGTGAACAGTCGAATGACTCCGTCATTGCTTGCGGAAGCGAAGTGTGCGCCTGAGGGATGTGAAGCAGGAAGTTTACACAGAGCTCTAACGACATCGCGAGAATCTTTAATGCTCTTGACGAGGTCCCCTGAGGTATTGAAGATCCGTATAATCTTGTCGGCACAGCCTGGTCAAAGTATGAGCACACTATATTTTCTGGCACATGAAGGGAAGAAAGCGATAGACGCACCGGTAATAACCGTGTCCTTATCATAGGCCAGAACAGCCCAGACACTGCCTTGGTGGCCCTCCATGACCGCATCACATTCCCATTTACCGACTCTCCACAGCCTCGCGGTCGAGTCCCAACTGCCGCTTACCACCCAGCCTCCCTCTGGGCATACGTCCAGTGCACAGACGTTGTGACCATGGCCCAGGAGCATTGCGTCAGCATTGTCGTCAGGAGTTTTCCCGGGTTGCCTTGCTTCTATTATCGTATCCTGGCCGCCAGAAAGTACGAGACCTTCAGGGAAGTCGGATGTTGGTGGGTAGTATGCTACAGCGTTGATGAAGGCTGAGCCATGTGAGGAGACGGTGGAATCATAAACAGGCGGCGGGGTAGATACCAGCTTCCACAGCCGAACGGCCGCATCTCGAGAAGCCGAAATTACTACATTTGGATTCGGATAGGCCACGGCGCGAACCTGAAATTGAGAATCAAGGCAAGAGTCAGCAGCTGAAAAACATGGGGAGTGCCCTTTGCGGTGACCAGAGTCATTGTCGGGGACGTTCTTACATCATCGCCGTGGCCCTCCAAAGAAGCGGAGATCTTGAAGTCAGGCATACATAAAGGCTGCTACCGCAGAGCTCTGTAGGAAGAGAACAACAAGGAAGGTAGGAAAGAGACTGATGGGAACGTTCCCTTCCGAGGTAAAGAGGCCGTAGGATCGATAGTCCTCCTGCTGGTAGACACTTAAGTCATGGTAACCAACAACAACAGCAGGTGCGGAGAACAGCATGCATCATATCATGTGGGCGGTGAAAGCCAGGTACATGTGACAAGAAGATACTAGAATTGATTCAGGGGTAAGACCTCACTGTCACGGCTTTTTATCTGATATTTAAAGCTTGTCTATATACCTTACGGGAGAACCGTGAGTTGAGAATATGGTGGATATACAGTGTATCTACGGTGTCCTTTGAAATATCCAAAAGTCTAGCACATCTTAAGCATTAGTAACGCTATTTCATGTATAGATTCTAAAGACACTGTACATCTATTATATCTAAGCGTGCATATACTGTATCTCAGCATGGATATACTGTATCTAACCATGGATATACTATGGATATACAGTAGCTGGTACATGGCAATAGCGTGGAAATATGATATAAGCCATGGATTAGTTCCTAGGGATATATGGCTCAGCCATTCAGTAATGTTCCTCAACTGTAGCACCATGGATCCGTACTAGATCTACCAGAAATTTAAAAAGTTTCCCTATTTCCACAGAGTCCTGGAAGGTTATACATGATACATCGTATCTTCAACTCACGGTTCTCCCGCTAGGTAGTCTACAACTGTCAACAGAGCATTTATCATTGGTCACTGAATGCTACTTGTATATCATAGTATATGTGCGGTACAACTGTACTTAAATGGAGTACATCCTGTGGGTGAACACTGAACAGAACCTATGGAGAAGGTCAAATACATGTCTATTTACTTAGAGTTCTGTATGAACATCAGTGAGCAAGAGGTCATGACGATAGAATTAAACCAGTCTACATCATGAAACGACATCATGTATGTATGATGCATCTCACTATTTGTCCAGCTGAGTAGAAGTATATATGTCACGTGCTAGTCACCTTTACTGCTTTCAGTCTAGCGTGAGAAATCGGAGATTTTGAACGAAACTCCGACAATTTGGAGTATCAACGAACGGAGCTATCAGAACAGGAAGACTTACCTGCTCGACTCAGTATCCCTCGAGACTCCTGTCTTGCTTCTCTTTGGAGTCGGAGTCTTTCCTTTGTTTGCTTCGTTGACTGGTCTGATCAAGTGCTTAGTCTACTCATGTGTACGGCTGGGATTACTACTGGACAACCTTTCATAACTTTTCTTTCTCTTTTCCGATTGCCTCATCACGATTACCCCGCCAATCTATATTGATGATTTGATGAAATTGACGAATCCTTACCTGTATCATTACCTATATTGATTTTTGACGTCTCTCTGAAGACTTCTATGACCTGTCAATTCATGTTTTGATCGTTGATAGGCAGTTTCAAGCCTATGTCCAAGCATTGATCACCACCATCTTCACGGCCGCACCAAGCTTGAAAGCAAACAACCAATCAACCACTAGGCGAACAGACTCGGATTCGGTATATATTGGCCATTCAAGCATTTCAAGATGGCCTCAGGTAAGCTTTCTCAATTCAGAGATTTTTCCTTCGGCTGTGTGTTGACCATAAATAGATATCCCTAAAGTTGTGCCCTTGACCTGCCATGGACACTCTCGTCCAGTGCCTCATCTGAACTTTTCCTCCCTTGCGGAGGACGATCAGTACTATCTAATTTCTGCTTGCAAAGGTAACTGTTTCCGCTGCAATGTCTGGGTCGCAGCTAAGCTAAAATTCTCTGATAGACAACAACCCGATGCTCCGGGATGGTATTACTGGTGACTGGTTAGTCGTTGTCGCTTCTATCATTACCAATTGCTTGACTAAGACTTATCCCTCAGGATTGGCACTTTCCTTGGCCACAAAGGAGCTGTATGGCAAGCTCGTCTTTCCACGGATGCCAACATTGCAGCAACTGCCGCTGCAGATTTCTCCGCGTATGTTTCAAGGTTCCTCGTACTGCAGCAACATCGACGGGACTGCTAACACTAATCCACAGGAAGGTCTGGGATACTCATACTGGTGAATGCCTGCACACCCTCCAGCATTCACACATCTGTCGAGCGGTGGCATTCCCGATCCAATCGTCCCCTCAAATTCTGGCCACAGGAGGCTTCGAGAAAAAGCTACGTATTTTTGATCTGACACGCAGCGGTGGCAGTAACAGTTCCTCACCAACATCCCCGTCAGCCGCAGAGAACGGCAACGGGGCTAGTGCAATCACGAGCTATGAGATAGGGCCTGGCGTGCACGGAGGCACGATCAAGTCCATCGTCTGGAATCAAGACTACAACATCCTCACGACAGCCTCGGAAGATCGGAAGATTCGCTGGTGGGATCTTCGTTCTCGCCATCCTGTCGTCGAGCACGCTGTCGAAGGCACGATAGGTAGCTGCGAGCTCAACACCCTCGCCACTCGACCCAATGACCCCGGTATCCTAACCGTCGCGGCCGGAAAGAGTGTCTACCTGTTCGATGGTGTCACACCCGGGCGGCTTTTGAAGAAGATGGACTTTCGATACGAGGTCGCCAGCGCCGCTGTGAACAATGATACTGGCCGATTGGTCACCGGCAGTGCTGACGATACCTGGGCTCGGGTCTACGATCTACGCACCGAAGAAGAGCTCGGTATGTGCATAGGAACCTTCCATCTTCTAAGACGTATGGCCACGCTAACCTGCTATCATAGAGGTCCAAAAGGGTCACCACGGACCAATCTGGTCAGTCAGTTTCTCTCCCGATGGCAAGCTCTACGGCACAGGAAGTGAAGATGGAACAATCAAGCTCTGGAAGGCATGCAGGGAGCCCTATGGGCTGTGGCGGTAGATACAGAACTTTCTGCCCTATGGAAACGTTCCCCAGCCTACAGTGACCCTTGCCCCCACGAGACGAGGTCCGTGTTCAATACTGGCTATCCGTTGACTCATTTGGGTCTCGCGACTCCCTATGCTCGCCATGTGTCCAGCTGATAATCGGCATATAAACCACGCCTTTCGAACACCTACCTTGACAATGCAGACTCTGAGCCGCGGATCGAGATAATGTGACAGTACTGCATTATACATGCGAAACCAATTGTCTCATATTACACGCCCAGTGTCAAGGAAAATTGCGCACAAGAAGATGTTCCAATCTGGTTTGAGTTGAGAAATACATAAGAGCAAGAAAATGGAATACAGTGCCAGAGACACCCTCCTTATTCGTCAGTAATGTAGTTAACGTCCTATTCAATCATATCAACGTCGTCATCACCAGCCGCAGCGGACGTAGCTGGGGCAATCTGCTGAGGCTCATCCTGCACAACCTCTTTATCAGCAGCGCCAGCACCCGCATTTGCGCCTCCCCAGTAATCATCCATCTCCTGATCAAGTTCTTCCTGTGTCTTCTTAGGTCTGGCGTTAGGGTTCCGGCGAGCCTCGCCTCGATTCTTATCATCTCGACGCTCCCCCTGCCGTCTGCCATTGGTGCTTCGTCGGACTGGCGATCGCTGTCCTGGCACGTACCGGTCAATGTTGTCCGGGGCCGGCTTCGAGACATCGCTACGGCGATGGCCTCCGCCGCCGCCAGGGCGACGGCCCCGGCGACGACGTGCTCCACCTTCGGCATCACCATTCTCACTTCCGGGGCTCAAGCTTCGGGCATCGCGAGGCCGCTCGATGCGGTCAAAAAGACTTCCCTTGGGGCGTTCGACATTGTCAAATGGGTTGCGGTCCCGTTTTCCACCGCCAGAGGCAACTAGCGTCAAACGGATAGGCTGCCCTTTAGCGTTTGCGCCATCGAATTCCGAGATCGCCGTTCTCGCGTCGCTCGCACGGTTGTAGGTAACATAGGCAACACCTTCGGAGCGCCCAGCCCGGTCATAGACGAGAGATAGATTTGAGACAGGTCCGATCCGAGTAAACAGATCCTAAAAAGAGAACTCATCAGCTAACTGATCAAGCGCCACGTGTCTTATGCTCTTTGATCGGCTCTTACCTCCAGATCGCTCTCCGTAATGTCGTAGTGAAGGTTCTCAACGCGAATCTTTGCTCCGGTGGGCGCGCTGCGTCAGGAGTTAGTCGCAGCCACAAAGTGCTTCAGCAGTAAAATTCAAGCCAGACATACCGATCGGGCGGAGGGGAGTAACGGTCACCACGTGGACGTCGGGGACCACGAGCAGGGCGGGCTGAAAGAAATCTGTGTTAAAAACAAAAAGAGGAACGAAAATCCCCGTGGCAATCGCCACAGAACCAGGTTCAAAACGCACTGTCTCTGTCGTCGTCATATCTGTCGTGGACCCAATCACTGTACATGTAACGCTATCAGTAAACGCGGATTTCATATTGTGGGCTGTGCGGGGTCAATTACAGATCTAAGTCGACTCGCTCTTCTCTGTAGGACTGTTGTGACACAAAAAGAGAGACAAGGTCAGCTGGAAATCAAAATATGCAGTCTGGAAACGGCTCCATCAATCTGCGGCTTCTTTCGCGTGCCTTGAGGCCGTGTAAGACAGGACGACAAGACCAACGACATCTCTACTGATCATGTTGCGATAGGGAGGTTCGAAAGGAGAGGAGGAGGGAGGACCTAGAAGCGCGAAAAGTAGCAGGTCAGCTGCGCTGACTTGGGAGAGCGATGGTTTGTTTTGTCAGACGATATATGGACGGACCTTTTTCACGCCATCACGGCGACGACCTTGACCTTGAGGAGGACGGCGACCTCTATTCTGTTTCTGCTATACAATTTTTCATGTTAGCAAACAAGTGAAGCTTCTTCGGTGAGCGCAGGGTGGAAAAAAGTACTGGAGGCCTTACAGGGCGTTCAGCAATGATCTCATCGAGACTACGGTCCATCTTGGACGCAGCGGAAGATCAGGCTATGAAGAGCTAGAAGATAGAGGTTGGATAATATGCTGGAAGCAATAGGTGAAAAATGTTCTGTAAATTGGTGTTCTGACGGAAGATTGGTTGTTGTATCAGAAGGTTGAGCTGCGACTGAGACCAGAAACAAGCCTAGGTCATGTGATGCTAAGGAGTATACTCAACGCGCAAAGTTGAGATCTCAACAGCATGGATGAGATCCACCAATAACCCAAGTCAAGGGTGAATTGAGGGATTGTAAGCCTTAGATAATCAAGAGCAGAAAGGAAAAAACCAGACGATCACGATATTTGAGGTTCGGAGCGAACTCATTACGCTGATCCTACTTCTGTGGGAGCGCTGCTTTCAAAAATGTTTCAATCGACGTACACCAGATGCTAATTTATCGAACTGTCCTTTGATCCAAGCCTGTTAGACGTCAGAAGGAGAGTACCTAGAAGAAGTATTTCTACTCATCAATTACTTTATTTTGACTTGAATGGTGGTATACATGGCAGGAATCGCGTACAGCTCAAACAAGACGTGAAAACGCAGGATGCACAGGCGAAGGAGAATAATAATCATGCAAGACAAGAAGTTAGAAACAGACAAAAATCAATGCTTCAAGTCCTGTATGCATGGTTGAGACTGTCACTCATCGAAAGACCAAGACCCCTTTTCGGTCCGCCAAACTCCAGCAACAACCCACGAGGAAAAACTAAGTAAAAGGGATTGAAGGCAAAAGTAAAGGTAATCTGAAACGGAAATCGCTGTGGATCCAATTTAGTGGTCACCGTTGACAGAGGAGCTATCTTTGTTCTTGTTGTTATGCTCCATCATCTTTTCCATGAAGCTGATATAGTCATACTTGGGAAGGTCTCGATCTTCTAGAAGATCTGGACCTTGATGTAGCGGCATTGTCTGCACAAGGTGCTCAATGACTTCGTCCGGAATGAGCGAGTGGCGGAGATCAAGTTCTGTGACATAGGGCTGCAAATTGATCAGTTAGCAAGGATTCTCAACAACTGCTGCGAAACCCCTCAGGTTGGGGAGGTACACACCTTGCCGTCCGCAACTTCGCGGAAGCTTTGAAAGACCTGCTCTGCAGTATGCTGATCTTCCGTCACGCTGACCATGAAGTGGATGAACTGCTCAAAGCTGACGCCAGCATTCTGCGCTAGCCTGGCCGGCCCACAAGTTTCGACGTAGACCTGGTGCATTTCTTCCTCGTCGTATACAAGTCCAAGACTAGCGAGGGCCGCAGAGAACTCGAGCTCGTGAAGTGTATTCGATGAATCACGGTCAAAATGTCTAAAGACAGATTCGAACTCTTCCAATTGGATCGGAGTCAGGTTGGTCATATTGCGGGCAACTAGCTGGTTCTCGAGGAACGCGAGCTTCTTGGAGATACTTGATTTGACTAAGCTCAGTTCGTAAGAGAGTTCATCTAAGGTATATGTTGTGAAGTCGTTCTCCTCAATATTCGCTTCGACGCACTGTTCGTCAAGTTCCGCAATTGTTTCTAAGAAAGCATCGAGTGGAGGGAGATTGCCATTGAGTCTCTTGACATGCTCTAATTGGTCCTCTACATCGCCGTCAAGACCAGAAATAGCAAGAGACAAGGTCTTCAGTGTGAGTGCAAAGTCATTAGCCTTGTCCGCGAAGGATCGGCGTAGAGCGTTCTTGATGTCCCGAATGGTCTCGTTGATGAGCTGGCTCCGCTCGTGCTCATCACGAGTCAATAGCTCCCATTCCTGGTCACAGACTTCGAGGCGTAGCTCTTCCGGCGGATCGTACGGACGGAGCCGATAGGTGCTGAGTTTGGTCTTGATATTACCCAGTAGAGCAGCAAGGTCTGATTTCTCGGCGACCCACCGTCGTTTCTCGTTTCTCTTGTATAAGGAGAACTGGCGAGCTTGTTCTTTAGCGTCTTTGTAAGTTCCCTCGAACGATGCATTCTTCCATCCTTCGCGCTGAGCTCTAATTAGACGCAAGAGTTCTTTCATCCTCCGTTCGTATGAGTTCTGCATCTCCCAGGCACCATGCATATTGTTGATGAATTTCTCAACTCGCCGACCCGCATTTTCCACCCTTTCCAGCTGAGAGAAGGCATGAAACCAATAGGCGATATAAGTCATCAGCGACCGTTCGTCAGGTTTTGCAACATCGCAGACGTCGTCCACATCTAGCAAATCAGGAATGCCAATCTCATTTGCCGCAATATCGAACGCTAGCTTCATGTTCCCGCGATGATCATTCTTGTCCAGGGCGTCGAAATCGATCAGATCCGGTCGGTGGATATCGAGGAGAGCACAGAAAGCAAGACCGTCATTCCAGCTGGTAGAGAAGTCGCGGACTTCTACCCCCTCGTAACAAGCGGTCTTTCTCTGACACCACAGCAGAAGACCCTCCTTAGCAGTCATGCCCTCCGCATTGATGTCGCTGATAGTGAATCTCAAGATGAGCGTCCATATCAAACCCAGAATAATCTTCCGATTGCCATCGACGATATCCTCCGCTCCGATATTCGTCATCTGGATCCGCCTCCCTCTGATGAAGTCAAGACTTTTGTTGACATTCTCGAATTTTTGCACGCGAAGCTTGGGTTTGGAAGCATAACGGCCGAGGGATTCTCCGCCGAGAATTTCGAGCAGGTGGATGAGGATAACCTAGGAGAGTTGACCGATCAATGTCTGAATTCTCAGATGAATCAACTATAGGGAGGTTAGGAGGAGACTCACGCCATCGGAGAGGTCGGTCACAAGGTCATCGATCAAGATGCCTCGAACCTTGATCTTGTCATTAAGCCTACGGGGACAGGAGATTGTCAGCCAGGGCAAGATCGACGCCGAAAATCGAGCGTGGGAAAGTGGTCAGATCGCGATCAAGAAGAAACTATCCAGCGAACGAGGGGCACCACCATCTCGATCAAACAATAACAAAGGACCAGTGAGGGGGTGAATCGGAGCATATACCAACCATTTAGTAAAAGTTTTCTGCTGTACATTAACCCAGGACTTTTCAACCGTCAACATGATGAGTGATGGAAAGAATCGAGTACATCCAGGGCCGTCGGTTCTATGGGAGTTTCTTTTTTCTTCCTCGAGCTTGTCAGTGACAAGAACAGACGAATGAGACGATAATGAATCAAAAATAGATTGGGGAGATACCCGCTCCCTGATAAACTAGCCCGGGATGGAAAGGGCAAGATCTTCACGACAGACCGATTTGAGGGTGGCTGGATTCGGCATCAGATGGAGATCAGAACAGCCTAGATAGAAGCTTTGACTGTGACATGTGAACCTTTGAGACACAATTGGACAGTCAGTATAATAGAAGACTGAAGACCACTCTCAGTTCTCCGGAGTCTGGTGTCTGCACCACTCTGACTGCAACCCGGAGGATTATCTATCCTAGATACTTGACTGTCAACAAACCGATCCCCTCGGGCCCCACAGCAACCACCATGGTTGAAGACTTCCAAGGTTCCTTAACTGTTATGGGTTCTGTCAACACAAATTAGTTTGTAGACTATACACCATGTAGACTATACACCAGTAATGGAGCAGTTATTTCACGAATAATGCGTAGGGGTCGAACTACTAAACCACGCATCCAAGCTATCTTAATCTGATCATTCTGGAGCGCATAATCAATAAAGAATATCCTTATATAGTAAAAGAATATTGCGATGATGGCTAAATAATTTATATAGATTTTTAGGCAGTTAATATGGTTGACAGGTTCTATAGGCCTAGGTCAGTTACCTCTCAGATTCCTGTCAATTATCTCTTAGATCCCTGTCAGTTACCTCCTAATAACTAGCATGGATATGTAGAGATTTAACTAGATGCTAAATGGTGAACAGTGTTTGACACTATACTTCTCAAGTCATATTTTATATCAAGTAATATAGTGATTCATTCTATATCATTGAGATAATCAATTTTGCGCCGGTTTCATCTCATTCATAGGTGAGTTTTATGATATACAGAAAACTCTGACGTCACTCTTTGCTTACACGAATGACCTCTCTTTACAATGGAGACAGTGATTACCTCTCCTCCTCCATCCCAGCCAACACGACCCAGGATGGAACCATGGTGTCGTCGTCCGAATTGGCCCTTACAAGCATCTATCCTCCCACAGACTTCACTGGGTTCGAAGCTTTGAAGGACGCGGTCACCGCAAAGGCCGCAAGCCTAGGACGAGGTGGCCACCATCAGTATCAATATATCTCGTTGAAGAATGTGCGCCGCAGAGACTTTGACCTAATCGAGGCCAACCGCCAGGAGCTCGGCAGTGTTGTCCGGCTGACATACTTTCCAGACATTGAAACTCTTATCGTTAAAGTCCCCTCTCGTGAGCATGAAATTGCTCACACAAACATTGGCCAGTACATCACCAGAAAAGTTGATCGCATGAATATTCCATTTGTTGAGTTCCTGGCTCTAGGGGCTACAAAGCACACCGGACCTACAAGTTCCAGCAAGGAATGCGATTCCTCATGGACCAATACTGTGCTCAGACCTAGAGGGTGGCCATACATGGTCATCGAAGCTGGCGTATCTGAGTCGATGCCCAGGTTGCGGGCGGACGCAGCCTGGTGGTTCGTGAACTCGAATGGAGCTGTCAAGGTTGTTCTGCTCATCAGGGTCGACGCGCAGCGAAAGATGCTCACTATCGAAAAATACGATCGGACCCGCGGCCCGGCGACTCGATCGAACCCCCAAGGCCCGTGGAGACCCCGAAAACTTACAACAGTTACCATCAATCAACAAGTCAACCCTGCAACTATACAAGTTGACGGAAGGAATGCCACACCTCGTCCTCTCACCCTAGAGTTCGAGCTCGTGTTTGGCCGCCCCCCTAACCCTCCCCTTGAAAGAGACATCACGTTCACAAACACCGAGCTCCTAGAATGGTCTCGGTTAGTCTTCCTTTAATCCCAACTACGCGGTCCTCCACTCTTCGAGCATTTTCAGGGGTTTTATGAGGACTTTGGGATGCAATTACACATCATCATACTCGTGAACACTCTACTTGCATCATCCGAATTCAGCTACGATGCGAAAAAATTGTTCCTTCAACGGTATCATGAAGGTCGATCGACATTCTCGAGTAGCCCAAGGGGTATCAGGGCTTAGGGGTACCTCCTGGAGGACCCAGAAGTGTCTTGTGGGGTTCCATATCTCAAGGCGAAGTGTTCCTTAAGACAGGAGAAAGACGAGGATACAGTCACGCCAGGGAGAAATAATACATATCTGCAAGCAGAAGTGCATAGTTCAATCGGCAATAATAAATAATACGTAATCACCTCAGAAGGCCGGAGATGATATCATTTGCACCAAAAACAACGGCGGGGCTAGTTGGAGGGGCTGGACACCAACCAGAAGCGCCTACCAAATCTTCCTCTCCCCGCTCCATGTCATCGAGTCATTCTTCTGGCAATCTGGCCAACTTAATAAGCTTCAGAAACTGAATATATTCGAGCGCAGATCCTCGGTCACCATCATCAATTGACTCTCGTCAATACACAAACAAAATGTCTTCGAAACTCGCCATCACAGACTTACTTCCTCTTCCCAATTCCGACGTCAAGATCCCCCGCCTTGGGTTCGGTGTCTACCGCTCTCCCACCGGCCAATGTGTCCAGTCATCGCTGAAGGCCCTTGAAGCGGGATACCGGCACATTGATACCGCCCAATTTTATGGCAATGAGGAGGAGGTCGGGGAAGCTCTTCGCAAGTGCGGCATCCCTCGCAGCGACATCTTCGTTACTACGAAAATTCTGAGCCCAGCCGGGTCCCCCGAAGCTACGTACCAGAAGCTACTAGACAGCGTCGAGAAGATTGGCGGTCAGGATGGATACGTGGATCTGTTCCTCATTCATAGCTCAAGCTCCGGTTCGGCGGGCAGGAAAGAGCTCTGGCAGGCCTTGGAGAGGCTTCTGGAGGAAGGCAAGACGAAGAGCATCGGTGTGAGCAACTTTGGGGTGAAGCACATCGAGGAGATGAAGGCATATGCAAAGGTCTGGCCGCCGCACGTAAACCAGATTGAGGTAAGCTCTACGGCCGAGTAGCTCTTTCAAGTAGATTCGTTTATGGCCAGTACCTGAGGTAGACTGACATTATGCGCTCTTTAGCTTCATCCCTGGTGCCAACAGCGAGTCATTGATGCATATTGCAAGAGGAACGGCATTGTCGTTGAAGCATATTCCCCGCTCGTGCGAAACTATAAAGCCAATGACCCAACGCTAGTCGGCCTGGCCAAGAAGTACGAAAGGACGACGGCACAGATTTTGATACGCTACGCGCTGCAGAAAGGATGGGTTCCGTTGCCCAAGAGTGACACGCCCGAGCGGATTGTGGCTAATGCCAACGTGTTCGATTTCGAGATTGGCGAGGAGGATATGGCTGTATTGAATGCCCTCGATCAAGGAAGCGCTGGAGCTATCGTGGAGGCCGTCGAAAATGAGTAGATAGAATGATCCTGTATGATATGTAGCGTCCCAAGCCCGGATTTAATGATAAGATGCAATCTGTTAGTCTTAATAATCCGGTCGTTCCATCAGAAATGCATTGATCGACTGAAGAGTGGGGCGCGACGGGTTCACATCATGTTTTGATGACACGATCCAGGCAAGACGTTGTCGTATGAATTGCTTGTCTATTGATTGCCTCGCCGGGGATGTTGTGAACGATCCTGAGAACCGTTAGAAAAAAAGAAGAGGACGAGAAAATGAGGTGGGGAAAAAGATAGGGAAGGCAAGCGGGTGTATAGAAGGATGCCATACCATCATCATTGTAGAATAGACATATGATAGCAAGGAGAGCACCAGCGGAGAGATCTTTACCAGTTTCACAGGTAACTAGTAGTGATCGTGAAGGATCGGTGGCGAGCTGGGAACTGACAAAAGCTCGAACCTTATCGAGCTCTTGTCTCAAGTCGCGGCTTCCCAGTTTTGACGACCTACATCCAAGGTTGAGCCGCTTTGGGTCTCCTTCTGATGCCTCGGGTCTGCCATTGCAATCAATTACGAGGTCATAGAGACCACTGTCGTTGATACTGGCGTTCGTTTGACTGATATAAAGATTCCGAGTAGGCGCAACCATTGTGGCTTGTTCAGCAGTATCCTGACCTCGATGCTCTTTCACCAGTTCTTCGACCAGTTCGGGCAAATCCTCCTCGGGCGTCTTCAAGAGAGTCGCTTTGTGGGCCCAGAAAACTGGCGGAGTCAATCCCTGGGCCCAGCCCTCGCTGTCATCCCCTGCGCCTTGAATGTAGCCACCCTCTGAAATTTCTGCTCCGTGCACTCGTTTGGACGCAGAACAGAGAACGAAAAGGTTATAGTCGAGTCCTTTGTGCAGATCGGTAGGATAAAAATAAGACCGATTGGCCCATGCCACCCGAATGGGCTTTCCAAGTTGCTGCCTGAGATCATCCAGGTCAAGTTTGAGATCCTGGACCTTCAGTCAGTTCTAAAGCTGCTGGGCTAAAAAGAGTATAGTGACGGTAGACGGGAAAGAATACCTTGAGCGATTTTACGAAACCATCAATCCGGCGTTCAATCTGCGATTCCTCCGAGGCGCCTAGATAATTCGGCGGAAGCTGTACTGCATGATATGCAGCATCGGATGGGAAAAGTGCTCGATTCATGACGGCGCACCATATTGGAACAGTCTTAGACAAGGCATCGGGCATCACTGCGCCTCGTAAGACCAGGCTGCGAACTGAACAGAAAATTCAAAAAGCAACACTTACATTTACCCCGACGCGTGGAATCGACAATAATAGATCTGCAGTGATCATTGGCAGTTTAGTCAACACCAGCCCAAGCATCAGCGGGAGGCGATAACAACAATAGTCAATGCTCACTCACCCCCCATGTTGCCGAGTAAGTGGTAATATTTGTAGATTCAGTCTACGAAAACTAAAATCCCACTGACCGGTATGGCCATCCGTGCTCTTGAAATAGGCACTACCAGCTTTGATGTCCGGCGAAATGTACCAACTCCCGCATCTTTCGTTGGCGACTAGAGGCAAGCCGTAGTGCTCGGCAACCTCTGCAACGAATGCAGCATCGGACTCAATTGAACGAAGGCGGTTGGAAATAGACAGCGCCGATCGTCGCAGCGACGACAAAGTCTGAGAAATGGATTGCGCTGCGGAGGGGAAATGAAGGGATGAGACGGACACAGGAAATTGGTCGGAATGACCGCCCGTGTTTTCCGACATTGCCTCTTTTCCTGTGAAGCGAAATGCAGACAGAAACTTACAGGGATAAAAAAGCGGGCGTAGATTTAGTTAATGACAATAAGCACCAATAATGAGGTTCCCAGGATAATACTTCAGAATAATAATATAAGAACAAGAAAAACTAAGATACATACCGCATACACGTTATCCCACATCAAACTGTGGGTTAGCAGAGGACGGGCCTACCTAACAGCCTAACCTGATTGATTGGATAGCTAAGTTCACTGTGCAAGAATGAGCCAATTAGCATCGAAGGAATTCTTGCCGGGTCAAGAGGCTAATTCTTTTTGTTTGACTGCTTGAGTGCCTTGTTCTTCTATATAAACCTACGCCAGAACAATACCTTGATACCTATGTAGGTATTGATGTATCTTGGGTACCTTAGGCTTACCTACTATTCTGTAGCTAAGGGGCCCAAGTACCTATGTGGTGAATAAGACCGTGTGCTATCCGCACAACCCCGTTGAACGATCAAGTCGAAGGAGACTGCGGGGCATGCAAGTTACATTGACAGGCATGGGAAGGCCCGAGTTATTTCAACATGGCCAGACCAAACGCAGTAAAGCGCAACAGAAGGCCAACATATTCAGGTTATTCGTGGATGAGCTTTCCATGAGTGTGACAACCGGCCACAGTCTTGTCTTCCTCTCCCGGTGACAGTTCTTTGACTGGGATATCTTGACCGATTTGAGACCCTCACATGAATCATATATATTGTGTGGAGGCACTCCAGTCATGCGTCTGCAGATAGAAGCACCCTTAAGATGTATAGTAAATCACAAAATTTGTCTTCCACATCCTTCTCGCGATGGAGTTCATCCCATAGAGGAATATTTTTGCTTGTATGGAGTGGTACACTCTTGAATATCAGGTTCCAAGATCGCAGAACTACAAGAAAGCCATCGAAAAGGACATAAAGAAAAAGAGAGGGAAACAACGGGTTGGGAAGACCCACCATGGTAAGCCTGGTAAGCCACAAAAGTCTGAATAGCCTCAGGCGATACTCCATTATATCTGAGGCAACCCAGACTCGATCTATTCGATTTGGCTCAGTGGCTTTCTGTGCCTTTCCATCCAGAGACATCACTAAATTAAATTAAGTAGAGGGGAACGAGGAAACTGAGCGTTACTGAAACGAGAATGGCAGCGGGTGCTTGCTGCCCTCATAGGCCTAGCAGACCGCCTCTAGCGTCTGATCCAGTGAGCAAAGCCCACGATGGCCCCCGTCCCTCGGCGCGATCAAGGCCGGCCTCCATATTACTATTCAACACGTTCAGTCGCAGCAGCCGAAGTAACGTCATGGTATGACCTCAGGTATCAGGAACCCCACCAGTCCCGCTCCTGCCCGGATACCTTAGTATCATAGTCGGAATTCGAGCTCTGATAGGTGAATATGGGTTTCTGTTCACTTCGTCCCCTTTGGAATCACCGGTGGATTGAATGGGGGTCCTTGCCTTCCCAACTTAGTATTAACCGTCCTTCGAAAGCTCTTTCCAAAACTACTTAAAGATTGTGGGCAGCCGTTGTTGTTTGCCACTTCTACTTGATCCCGGTCCAATCCACTCCCACGATTCGTTCCCTTCCCACTTACCCAAACAACTTCCATTTGACTTTCTTCACGGCTATTTTACCCACTTCATCTCACTTCATCTCACCTCAAGCAGACTTCGTGCAAAACCTCAGCTCTCCATACATCTTCACACGATTCTATACAACTCCTATTACACAGAATCTCTCAGCTCAGCTGTCACCATGCCTAAGGTCAGTCATGTGTTGCTCTCTACCTCACATGAAGTCATGGATCCACAGAGCTGCTGACCACGCTACCATTCTGCAGATCACGGGAATCTTCTTCGACTGCGACAACACCCTTGTCCTGTCGGAAGAGCTGGCCTTCGAAGCATGCGCGGATCTTGCTAATGAGATTCTTGCGAAGCGCAACATCCCTGATCGCTATACCGGCGGGCAGCTGATCCAGGACTTCGTTGGTCAGAACTTCCGCGGAATGATGATTTCTCTTCAAGCCAAATATAAGTTCGAGATGTCCAAGGAAGAACTTGAGGAGTACGTCATAAAAGAGGAGGACGAGGTCATCGGCAAGCTCAACGAAAAGGCACAGCCTTGCGTCGGGGCCAGCGAGCAGCTGGAGAAGATCTACAATGACAAGAAGTATGACCTTGCTGTCGTCTCCTCCTCCGCTCTGCGCCGTGTCAAAGCCTCCATCAAGAAGGTTGGTCAGGACAAATACTTCGATGACGACCTCATCTTCAGCGCTGCTACCTCCCTCCCCAAGCCCACTTCCAAGCCTGATCCTGCTATCTACCTACATGCCCTTGAGGTGTGCAAGAAGAAGCCCGAAGAAGTGGTTGCCATTGAGGACAGCAAGTCTGGTGCTCTGAGTGCCATCCGCGCCGGTATCCCAGTCATTGGTTACGTCGGCAGCTACCCTGGTGATGACAAGAAGATTGAGATGGCCCAGCGTCTCGAGGAACTCGGTGCTAAGGTGATCATGAAGGACTGGAGCGAGTTCGAACAGTGCCTTGAGCAGATCGAAAGCGCATAAAACGACTTAGATTTCTGCATCCAGCTCGATTCTTTTCCCGCACGAAGTTATGACAGAAAACGCCCTGGTCGTTAGGGAGCTACTGGAATGGATTCCTTTCGTTCACCTTTTTCAGTTTTATGAGAAGCTTTCTTGCTCAAAGCGGTGGTCAGGAACCCCCACCTGCAAGTCTGCATCTTTCCGTTCAATGGGACCCGGGCGTTTGAGCGTAGCTCTTCCGCCCTGGGTCTGATCTTCACACTTATTTCGAATACCCCCAAAATTTCTGACTCGGCCGGGACTCGTGCATCGCACTCGACATTCAAGCATAGACGGGTTTTCATGGACACAAACCGACGCCTTTCGGTGTATGTAGTCTGTATTTGCACAATAGAGGCTTACTCTCGATTATCTGAGATTTTCAAACTCTTTGCTCCTTTGGAGTCGAATATGGGTTCTGCTGATGGCTCATGTTGTAGAACTACTGCACCGACAAGCCCTCGCCCTCGCCCCCGCTTCCGTCCGAGGGACAGGCCCGCTGTAGATAGCACTGAGTAGCGAGAGCCAGTCGCTAATCATTTCACATTGGGAGTATTGTCGGCAAAAGACCCATTCGAGCGCAGGTTCTATGGCGCATCACATTCAGGTGCCTTTAGATACATGGTTGACTCTGAAAATTAAAATCATATGCTAACGCAAGAAGACCCATATGTGGGCCACGAAGATGCACATTCTGTGACCTATCCAGGAGTAGTCAGCTGAGCTTGAATACGTACCCAGGCATCGGACTCTCCTTCGATAGTTTGTAAAACACATGACTGTGGCCGTACGCCATTAGAGCTATCGCGAACAGCGCTTGCATGAGGTCTGCATAGACCTTGATTCCGACTGCGGGGGGTCTTAAGCGGTTTACATTGGAACGAAAGATCGGCAGAAGCAACCTCACGAAGAGAGCTCTGTTGTCTTGGTCAGATGGACAGCAAGTGCATACTGCACTGCAAGTCCTGCAAGTTATGCCTACAGGCTAGCATGAGTATCTAATTTCAGAAAGGAGCTCATAAATGCACTGTTACACTGGGCAGTATCTACATCATCTGCGTTGTCGCAGCTGATATGCGTCTTAGACGCAAGGGGGATAGGTCTGGACAGATGCTGCTTGTATCAACGCAGTATTCATGTGTCAAAACATTGTCAATCATTATCTGCTTACCCCGCATTGCATTGGATTTTGTAGCTGGGCCGTGGCTCTGTATGTCTAGGAAAACTGCTCTCACCAGCTTGTGCAGCTCTTTTTCTGATGTCAGTGGCTTCCATCCTTGCCTCCATTGTTGCCCTTCCCAAAGGCAATATTTGCAGTTGGGCCATGAGAAATGTATTCGGATTGACGAAGTGAATCGATGCGCATTTATTGCGGTTGAAGACAGATGCACGCTTTGTAGCCCATTCATTTGCTTGACGGCAGGCCTCTTATAATATCAAAATCACGTCCTCTTTCGAATGCCCGGTGGCCAGGAAACAGGTGTCATTTATCCATCCGTTCGTCGTGAGGTTCCGGTTACCGCTCCCGATGTCGATGAGGTCGGCAGTGTATAGCAGATAAAGAATTGGCGAGATTGGGGACCCGTAGGGATGTCAGTGGCGATTGGCATACACTTGGAGACGCTCTCAGGTATCCAGACCTTGGTGCTTCGATTTGAGAGGAAGGCCTGTACCCGCAGTATGAAATATCCAAGCTGCTGCTTACGCAGGTTATGAAGTAACTGTTTGTGGGAGACATTATTATAGGGCCTTAATATATCTAATAAGCAGAGAAACCACTGGAATATCCCCTTGCCCTAGGCAGTTCTAATATAGTTGATTATTAACTAGATGGCATGATTGATGGAGATGCCCTTATGTCCACTAAGATAGGTATCCGCGCCCTGGTTATTAAAGACAAAGGGACCTCTACTGCAGGAGATGAGACTGTATACAGCTGGGAACATTAGGATTCTTTTTTTGATTAGAGTGATCGGCTCCTAGGATCTCCATTACCCCTACAGGCGTTCATCAGCATATAGGATTTATACCTGTTTGGTTATACCACATTGAATGCCCGGATGGTCTAGTGGTATGTTCTCATATTACGCCACTTTAATTTCCCTACTAACAACTTAACCAGGTATGATTCTCGCTTTGGGTGCGAGAGGTCGCGCGTTCGACTCGCGCTTCGGGCCTTYYTTTTTCGTTTGCTCCCTTCCCAATTCATATTTAGTTTCAGTATGTAATGATTTAGAATTTGCCACATCGACTGCCCGGATGGTCTAGTGGTATTTCTCATATTACGCCACTTTAATTTCCCTACTAACAACTTAACCAGGTATGATTCTCGCTTTGGGTGCGAGAGGTCGCGCGTTCGACTCGCGCTTCGGGCCTTCTTTTTTCCCTTTGCTTCTCAATTCATGCTTAGTTTCAGCAGGTAATGATTTAAGTGTTTAATGGTTTCGATGTGAAACATCAGAAATAGCAGTCAAATAGGAGACAGACAGCTGGGCACTATGCTTATTCATTTCTTTCGTAAAACCTCCAATGCCACTTAAAATTCTATTATAGAAGGGAACACAGTGTGGAATGCCATGGCAAAGATTACAGCAAGCTATTAAATTGAATTACCTTCTAAAGAGTATCTATAATCTAAGTTACCACCGTCTATCTATCCAACAAATAAATCTAGTGTAGTAACACCTAACGTAATTCCCAGGTGAGCCGGCCACCCTAGCGAGCTGGCCATCTCTGTATTCCATATAAAATGGCACCCTTCCAGACTTTGATATCTCAACAACCACGCATCTACAGGGGCTAAATCTAGGCATGAGGTATATTATAGTCATATACTTATAATCTATAGCCTCCTTGTGTATGTATACATATAGCTAACATAAAATACACCTGTAATTTTAGTAATTTTAACTTCCAGATATTAAGATAGAGAAGTAATATTTTAGCATCCTAAGAAAGAGTATTTATATACTTTAGACTATATGCATTCTGAATATCTTACTTAGATAGTAGCATATATGACTATGGTTGAGATATTAAAGTCTTGAAGGGTGCTATTTTATATGGAATGCAGGGATGGCCGGCTCGCTAGGGTGGCCGGCTCACCTGGGAATTACGTTATAGTTAATAGTGTTTTTGCTTAATAAACAGAAGGTTCCTGTTATGACACCACAGCCGCAGGGCGGGTGTGACGGGTGGGATCATGAAGCAAGGACCAACCAACCACATCCAGACTAGGAGGTCAGTGTGGCGGTCGCGTGAGTTAGGGTGATTCCCACCCAGCTTCTCACCCTTTCTATATTGCACTCAGCCTTCTCACCCTAAGTTGCGCGACGCTAAAGCAGCGCTCACTATTTCCCAGGGCTATATAAGTCTACTCTGACATGGTTCAGATACATACAACCATAGGGTGTGGAGAACAGGGCTTCCCATCTGCTCAGCCATACTTAAGCCACACGCTAGCTGGTTAGTAGTTAGGTAGGTGACTACTAGTGAATCCTAGCTATTATATATTAGTATTCACCTAGTTTTTTTAATTTATTAGGTCTAGTGCCCTAGCTACTTTTCTTTACCCTCTTTATCTAAAGCTTACCTAAACTACCTAAACCTTAATACTATATACCTACTAACCCTACTTAACTACTTACTACTGATGTATCCTCTAATTAGTAGTACTCTCTAGGTATATAATATATAGATATAGCTTAGTTCTTATAGTCCTACTATATATTATTACTAATTACTATAGCTCCTATTAGTAGAGTTACTATTAATATAAATATAGTTAAATACACCTAAATATCTAGCCTAGACTAAACTACTATTCTTTAAAGCATTATTTAACTAAAAGTAGAGATGTAGGCTATTAATATAGTTATCTTTAAAAATATAAATTCTAGTTCTATTATTTCTAATTATAGGAGAGTATAACTAGTGCTCTAATAATCTTTAGAAAGAAAGATTATTATAAATATAAATATAATAAATAAGCTAAACTATAACTTTTTAAAGTAAGGTTAATTAATTAATTAAAGTTAGCTCTAATTCTTAGTTAGAGCCTTACTAGGTTAGTTAGTATATTATATTATAAACTTAATAAAGATAATACTTATTCTATCTCTATAATAACTATATTAGTGAGTTTACTATCTTATCTAGGGCTAGTAGAATAAACTATTAATTTAAAAGAGATATTATTAGAGTAAAGATAATTAGTAATAGTTTAATTATATTTTACTATACTTTATTATTAACTTATAAAGCTAAAGGTCTCTTATACTCTAATATATTATTAAGCTACTTAGATACTAAAGGTTAGTAATTTTTTAAATTCTTTTAGTATCTTTAATATTAAGTAGTCCTTAAAAATTTATCCCTAGATCTTATTATAGTATTATTTATAGTTCTTATATTCTATATTTTACCCTTAGTTAGTAGAGGTAAAACTCTCCTTAGTAATCTTTTAAAACTTAACTTAACTATTAATTCTAATAATTTTAACTTTAATAAGCTTATTCTATTATTTATTATAGTATCTAATAAAGAATTAGATAAGATTATATAGAATAAGATCTATACTATAGTTACTAAATTAATACCTTCTCTAAAGTTACTTTCTCTCCTTAGAGAAACCCCTTATATATATACTATAAGTAGCTTTATTAACTCCTCTAAATATAGAAAATATATAGATACTATGCTAAAGGAGGAACTAGAACTAATTTATATTAGGATATCTAGCTTTTATAATACCTACTTTAGTAATATTAATAGTCTAGAAGAGATAAGTATTACTATATTAAGAAGATATAAAGAAGGATAGAACCCTTTATTTAGTAAAGAAATTAAATAGTAGGACTAGCCTAAAGATACTAAGGAAAAGGAAGTTTTAGAGTAGCTTACTAAATAAATAAATATACTCTATAAGATAGTAATTAGTAAGGGTTTTACTATAGTATTCTATTATATAGTTTTAGTATAGCCTAGTTAACTATTATAAGGGTCTACAGCTAATTAAAAATTAGATATTAGCCTTATATATAACTTAGATATAAATAATTATACCTAATATTACTAGTCTTATATTTTAGTCCTAGGTAAGCTAAAAAGTAACCTAAGCACTAATACTACTCTAAAAATATAGTATAATCTTAGGTACTATATAAGAGAGGTACTTACTACTTAAGATATATATTAATTTACTCTTAGCTTTATACTTTATAAGTTAATTATATAGCTCTAGGAGTTTAATTATATAGGATCTATTATATCTATGCCTTTTAATATAAATAATAATAGACTTTAATTTATTTTAATAATCTTAGGGTTTCTTAAGATAACTAATAAATAATTAGGTTATAATCCTAGTATTATATACATTAATAGCAAGAAGTATATTAATATCTAGTATAATAGGTAGATAGAGTATCTTATTATTAATAGGCTTATGAAACAGGTGCCCTATATTACTAGCAGAGCCATAACTTACTAAAAAGTATATTATAAAGGAGACTAGTCTAGGGCACTGCTTATAGATATAGAAGAACTGGTGGAGATAAAGAAAGGAATAGTAGCCTATAAGGGTGACTTTCTAAGGTTAGCAGGTAAGAACTTCAGTGAATATTACTAGCTACTAAGAGCTTAGGTTAACTAGTTACAGAAGGTTATTTTCCTAAATAGTAGGAGATAGAAGAAGGAGAATTAATTACTTATCTTATAGATAAAAGATGTACTTTAAGCAGCAGTGGAAGATAAGAAATCTAGACTTATAGATATAATATAAAAATTTATAATATTTCTACCTGCAGTAGCTTTACAACTTCACTAAGTTAACTATATCTATACTAATATAACTCCTATCTAAAGGCTATAAGAGTAGGATTTCTATTAAAATATAACCCTTACCTATAGTATAGCTTAAAGGTCTTAGTCCCATCCCTAGTACCATCTAATATATAGACATTAATTAGTTCATAATTTCTAATAATATATAATACATTATTTATACTATATAATACTTATAACCCTATAGCTTAAATAGATTTAAGTACTCTTAACCTAATGCCCCTTAATTATTATTTTATCTCTTATAGATATTTATATAGAGAGATATTCTCTCTTACTAATCCTATTAAAGAAATTAATATATAGCATCTTATTTAAATATAACTATATATATATTATAGATTTATTATATACAGCCCCTATTTCCTTATAACTCTTTAAAGAATTATGTCACAGCTGCTATTGCAGATAACTAAAATACTATTAATAGCTAATCCTACTAAAAGCATTAAAGTAATTTAGAAATTAAGTAACCTTATAGGCCTAATATTAAAGTACTAAACTAAAATTTTTATATTCTTTTATTCTCTTTATCTACCCCCTTCTAGTATAATTATAGTCTTTAAGCCAACCCCTAGGTTTAAACCTATAGTTACTAATATACTAAGCCTAGATAAATACTCTAAGGTCTTCTTTCTTAATTATCTTATTATTATCTATAGTAATCTAACTTTGCATAGGTCTTATCACTTCTTAAGCTAAAGATAGTATCTAAATATAAAATAAAAGGACTTATTTACTTTTATCTATTAAGTTTAATTAGAAAGTCCCTAATAGTTCTAGTATCTCTCTATATTAATAGGATTATATGTATTAAAGGGAAATCTATAAATATAGACTTATACTATTATATCTTTTAGTAATCTAATATTAAAGTATCTAAAAATAGAAGACTTACTATATTAGTAATCCTATATAAGTAGACCCTAGAAGGTTATTAGCTAGATAACTAGAGAGGATACTAAATATACAGTGCTAATATAAAATTAGTATACTCCTTAATTAATAGAAATTAGTAGATTATCTTTCTATTTTATTCTTATATTAAGGATATAATATGTTATCTTAGTAAGGACTATTAAGAATAACCTAAAAGAGACTAGAGATTAATAAGCTCTATTTATTTATAAAAATTAGAGGGGATTAGTAAGTATATTAGATAGTATATAAAAGCTAAAATAATAAATAGTAATTATAAGCTATATTTAGACTAGTATATTTATAGATATATATATTAGTTTACCTGCACTAGGAGAAGAAACTATATAAATAATAAGCCTATTATATATTACCTTCTACAGTATTAAGTATATGTATTATATTAGCAGGAGAAGTAATATAAGTTCTATTTAGAAGACTATTATTTAGAGGTATTTAATAGGTAATATTTTATATATTATCTATATTAACTATATTACTAATATATATATTATACTAGATACTATTACTTAAATATAATTAATATACTATAGTCTAGAAAGCATCATCTATATCTCTTAAACTAGTAAATATATAATAAGATAGCTCTAAGAATAAAATATTCTAGTTAATAAGTATTTAGGCTAAAGGAGGAAAGTCTCCTAGGCTACTTCTATACTATAAGACTAAAACTCTTAGTAAAGTACTATAAGATATAGACTAACTTACTAACTATAAGATTACCTAGATAACTATATATACTATATCTTAGGCTTACTTTACCTATAGTTAGCTATTTATCTATATAAAACCTTACTAGCCTATACTCTAGTAAGTTACTAAGCTATTCTACCTAGCTCTATCCTAGTTATAGTATTATAGCTAAGTTATTTTAAAAGGAAGGGTGTTTAACTATATATACTATAAATAATAAGTTTCTATTATAAAGAAGCTATTAAGTACTTATAAAAGTATAGTTAATTTAGTAATATATCTTTATAAGATAGCCCTCTTCTTATATATACTCTAGCCTTCTAATTAGTCTTTAGTTTTTCTTAGCATTTCCTTAGCCTATCCTAAGTATTAATAAATCTAATCTTAGAATAGCTTAAAAAGTTAAGTAAGCACCTAATAGAAGGAAAGGAATAGTAAGATAAATATACTAGAAGGATATTTAGTATTTAAAGATATTATATTTAGTCTAGGTAGGAGAGTATTAAATTTATTAGATAGAAAGTACTTAATCTTCCCTTATATATAGCTAAATACTCTATTAGTAATAGTATCTAGGCTATTCTTAGTAATATAAGTATAGATATTACTCTTAATAAGTCTATTAATAACTATATTCTATTTATCATCTTCTATTAGTAGGTTAACTTCCTAGCTAAGATATATTAGTTAAAAGAAAGTAGTTAATATAGACTAGGGATATATAAGCTATTAAGCTCTTTATTAAGATAAAATAAGAAATCTAGCTACTTATTTTCTTTAAATATAGTAGCTAGAGTATTACTTTTAAGCTATAAAGCTAGCTTATTATAGAGATTATTATATTTTTTACTATATAGGATCTATTTTATAATCTTATTACTAATCTTCTTATTATCTCTAAGTATTCCTGACTTATTTATTATATTTATAAGTTAATTATAATATTCTTCTATAAAATTTAAAATATTTAGCTCCTTTTTTAGCTAATAGAAAATAAGTTTAATAAATTAAGTTTATATCCTATTAGACTAACTTCTA